CAATTTTGACTTATGGTGACCCTTTTCACTAATGGGCCTGGAATGTGTTGCTGTCCCCTTCAACTTCTTTTTAAAGGTAGGCATTGCCCAGCTTCCAGTGAAGTAGCCACTTTTAAATTTAGTTCTATGATCAATGCTTCACATTTTAGTTTTCTTAATGAACTCCTGGATGCATGCCATTTCTGCCTGGTGACTTTAATTAGTCCATTCTAGACCTTCATCTCTTGTCACATCTAATGAGCATGTGTTTCTACAAAATGAGACAGGACACTAACAGGACAATCCTAATGCTAGGTCAGATTGCTCAGAGGCTGGAGTATTCTTTGGTTTTCTAAGTAAGACAGAAGTAGCATTCATTATTGTCTCTGTGTTATTTTTCTCCCCTCTTATAAAAAACACATTTCTTTTATCCCATTGCAAGGGAGTGTCCTACATCAAAGATTCCTCTCCTTTGTTGTTTGTCTGAATGTTTCAACAGTGTGTTCTTTCATCTGCCCTTTTATCTTTTTGATTATCAATATATGTTTGTTTTGCCAAATGTTGTACAGTATTCTCTTCATTTTCTTTATCTGGACAAGCTTTAGATTTTGAAAATAGGAGGGCATCTGTTATGCTTCCTTGAACTCTTCTAATGCACTACATAGTACTCCATACACTTGACTCCACTTTTCTATCTACTATAAATATTTCATCCAACCTCCTACTGTAGTATTTTGGCTTTGCTTTCAAATCTTCTGAAGGTATTTGACTTTTTTACTCTTCCTTTTAACCTCCTTTTGAGCAACCCCTCTACTTTTAAAGAAGTTTTTTCCATCATAAAGTTTTCGGAGTGCCATTCTTGCATTTTAACGGCTTTCCCATTTTTCATTTTCTTGAGGATTTAATGCTGAGACTGTGAACATGGCAGCATACAGTTTTTATTGTTAGATGAATTGACAGTATTTCTGAGCCAGGGGAAATGAAAGATCAGCAACTTTCTGAATCAGTTATTAGCAGGGCACTGGATTTTAAAGGACTGTTCCATGTCAAAGATGGACAAGAAATGGTGGGGTCCTAAGCTGCAGGAATGGAAAAATACTCAGAACCCAACCAGGAACCTCATAACCCAGGAAGTTCGGGAGCAGACTGAATCATATTGTAACACCTCGGGGCAATCTCTACACTTTTCAAGGGAAGTAATGGGCAAGTTTAGGAGTAACAACTGTGCTCAGACTGTTTAATTGTGACAAAGCACAAGAGGAATGGTAGTAATGCTTTTGCTAATACATTTGATTAAGGTGTATTTTGTGATATAAGCTTAACTTCAGCCTGTGGAATACCTGAGAGAATGTAACATCATAAAAAAAATGAGAAATGATGGGGGATGAGAAAATAGACACGGGATTTACACTTATACATTGATCATGTAACATGTGTTAGAAAATATTTCTGCATAATAACCAAACCTAGAACACTCCTAAAAATACTCGCTTACACACATAAACAAAATATATACCCTAAACCTTCACATTCACATTGTTTTCAGTGGCCATCCCATAGGACAGTGGTCCCCAACCTTGGGCTCCAGATGTTCTTAAACTACAACTCCCAGAAGGCTTCACCACCACCTCTGCTGACCAGAATTTCTAGGAGTTGAAATCCAAGAACATCTGGAGGCCCAAAGTTGGGGACCACTGCCATAGGAGATGAGATAGAGCAGTAGACCCACAGACAGGCTACTCCTTGTTGGAGATGGATGCTTTTCAGCTGTGAAAATTGGAAGGACAAACCCTTGATCAATAATACTGACTGCTCCAGCAGTAGCTACAGAAATTCCTCTTCTTCTGTGGTAGCTGTTTTAGCTTTCATGTGGTTTTTACATAGGGATTTTTAAAGGCAGGGTACCTAATATGTGGATGAATGCAAATGATGCCTGCCTAGAGCTGTGTTTGTGCCAAACGAATGTGATTAGACAGAGGATATTCTCCCATTTTGGGAACATAAACTGTAAGGCCCAGCACAGATGTTTTATTTGTTGTGCATTGGGCATTACATGCAATAAAGACACTGAATAGGCCTAAGCATAGGACTGCTATAAGTCGGTTGCGACTTGGCAGCACAGAACACACACACATTTGGTATGCCCAGCAATGAGCAGCCGTTCTCTCTCCGTCCTCCTTCAGACTCCAGTGCCTTCCTTTAATACCTATAGCACAGAGATGGCAACACAGAGATTCCATACACATGTATAGCATGTGTTATCTGTAATTCAAAGGAATATTCCAGGATAAAGGTTCCTTAGAGATATATGGGTATGGGGAAACATGGGACAGGAGATGCCTCCCCTGCATGATTAGGCTGCAATCCAGTGTGCACTTATTCAAAAGTAATCCTCATGGACTCAGGAATGGCTTCTGCAAATCTAAGAGGATAGTGTGAGGTGCATATGCCACTTGGATGCAAGGATCGCACCAAATGGCATCCTGATCGTAAGCAACCGTATTTAGCCTGCTCCAATGAGCCTGTGTAGACAAGCCCTAAGTCTGTCTCTTTTGAAGGGCTCACGGGATATAGAATTCAGAACACTGATCAGTGAAATACAGCTTGGTACAATATTTCTTTCACTTCAAGCTAATTATAAAAAGCAGTGCATCATTGGCTTTTCAACACTGCTGGATTGACATCTGAAAAAATAATTGTATGCCACAGTAGAGTTCTACGTTGTTTTTGCTGGCAGAATGAGACACTTCCTAAATATTTGTGAATAGATTTAATTAAACTCATGATGGAGATAATATTTACTAATTTGTTCACTAAATGGTTCATTTTATTTTTTTATTTTGGGCTGCTTGGTGAGATACCTATATCAGGAATTGTCAGCCCTCATTAGATTCTTCATCTTCAGGAGACAGCAAGACAAGGAATACTACTTTTTCTCATGAAGGTCTCTATATCTTCTGCTAACTGTCCAGCAAAACGTGCAACCTTTCTCTTTGAGAAACGAAGCACACAGTTGCACAAAGACCTAACAGTGGCTGATTGTCAAAAGAGGCACAAAACTTTCTCTGATGCTTCCAGTCCTTAAAAGTCCACACAGCACAACAACAACTATTTACATTTTGTGCATGTTGCACTTTTCTGTTAAAGCATCACTGTATCTAATGCAATCATTTACATTCTCATTTCTTCTGAGAGTCCAACAAAAACGCTTCATCCATTTGCAGCACACACATACACATGAAAATTACAGCTTCTTCTCCCCTGCAAGGACAAAACAAGTGAGGGTTGACTCACCAAGTTCAAGCTTTACTCTTCCTCCCTGAATCACTTGTATCTTTCTTTTTTTTACCCTTCCCTTCTCATTCTCTATTATTTTACTGTACTTTCTATACTACTTTATTTCTTCAGTTTAAAAAGCCCAGTTTTTATTATGTGTTTATAGTACAAAGATGCAATAAAAATTAATCAAATACATGGTTGTACACATATCAGATATGCAAGGCATCTGAATGACTCAAACCATGAATTAGTGGGCTAATGTTTCTTAAGAAATTTTCCAAACCTAGCAATATATCTTGAGCTATATTAAAACTTTTTAATATCAAGTAAGGTTTGATATCAGTACAATCCAAGTTGCCATTTCAGAGAATGTACAAATTGATGAACTCTCAAAAATGGACAATCAGAATCCATCCTCAAGTGCTTGACTAAACTTCACATGTTAGAAAATATATTTCTATGAAGCTGTTGTAGGACTAGCAGTATCTGTGTACAAGAGAATTTCTCTGTTTCTTGGCACATAGAGTAAAAACTGGTTGCTATGAAAAAAAAATCATGAAAATGATATGGTTACTCAAGGCTTAATTGTGATCTCTGCTCATCAGAACATCTTCATGTCAGACTGATGACATTTTGCCTGCAAGGTGTCCTTGCCCTCTCTGCCTGGCTCACTGGCAGCCTGCAGGCTGCATTGCCTAAGATGCTAATTAGAGATACTAAACTAGAATAATTGTTATCAACTCCCCCATTCTATCCACTCTAGTTATCTTTTCTAGATTCCTACTGATCCTGTGCACCATTTTCAGCATATGTCATTTGGATGACCACAACTATTTTCACAGGGCTTTATTCACATCTTACAGGATTTTGCAAGATATATTTTACTTTCACCCTTCCTTCTAGGAGTTATTAACCTCATTTGCACTAGTGACAGGATTTTGACGGAGATTTCTTAACTCCTGAATTTGTCATACTGTTTCAACAAGACTATAGGAAAAACAAAAATAACGATTTGAAACCTCAGTGTCATCTGAATTTCAGAAACGATGGATTTAAAACTTCAGATGAGCAAGAGTGACTTTTGCAGCTGTGTGTGTTCTGCATTCTCAGAAGATTTGTCTGATTTTGTTCTGGCTCATTAGGGGGCAATATTCAATTGGATTCTTGCTTCTTTCAGAATTCATTTTCCTGGAGTCAATAGCTGTGGCTGGTCACGCAGCAGTAGAAGCTTGCTTTCAACATCATTATCCACCCTGGCTCTACCAGTACCAGGAAGCAGCTCTCTTGGCAATCAAGAATATTTATATAGTATATTTCAGTCATACATTTCACCTTGAAGAAAACCACTAAGACCTCATAAATTAGGAACACTGATCCAAGGATTTTCAAATTTGAAAGTCCCCATGTTCATGAGACTTGCTTAGAGAGTGCCGTGCCACTGAGCAGAACGGAATAGTTTCAGGTCTCTGCCATTCTTGTGGTTCACATTCTTTTAAGTGCTGGGGTGTTTTAATAATTAAACTTACTTGTGTTGGAATCGTTTTTATCTAATGTCAAACTGAGTCTGTAACCATATAATAAAAGTAAGTAACTAAGCTTTTGTACAATGCATCAGTCTCAGAAGAAGGTACAAACCACTGTTGAGCCATACGCCCATTAAGTTATTAAAAATGCTTGTGTGTCCTTTTTCACTGACATTAACCTTCTGTCTAAATTTAAGTCTGCTTTCTGTTGCCTTCTAGATTTCCTCCCTGCAGTCAAGCACTCTCATTAGGAAAGTGAAGCGGACCCTGCCTAGTCCTCCGCCAGAAGAAGCTCACCTCCCTCTGGCCAGCCAAGCTCACTCACAGATGTACATGCCGGGCCTCATCCAGAAAGGAGTGCCCGTTCAAGTGACTAAAGCCAGCCTCCTCAAAGAGCTTGACCGTGACTTGAAGCTGGTTGAGCACGAGTCTACTAAGCTGCGGAAAAAACAAGCTGAACTGGATGAAGAAGAGAAGGAGATTGATGCCAAGCTGAAGTACCTGGAACTGGGGATCCATCAGAGAAAGGAGTCTTTGCTGAAGGATAGGAATGTCCGTGATTATCCCTACCTGAGATGCCTGGGAGAGAACAGGGATTACATGTCAGATAGTGAGCTCAACAACCTTCGCCTTTCTGGCTATGAAAGTAGCAGTCTTCTCACAAGGCCCAGCACTGCCCCGTCTAACCAATATGCAGACTTCTCCAGTACTCAGTACACATCAGCCTCCTCCTACACTCCCTATCAGTATTCCTCAGGACAGGGTGGCCCACCAGCCCCAGCCACGTTCCAGCAAACAAGATTTCAGCCTCCACACTATCCCCTAGCAAGCAACGGCCCTGCTCAAAATGGTTTCCAGGCAAGCCAGATGCCCTCATACCCTTCTCAAACGACATATCAGACACACAGTTTCACTCCGAGCACTGGCTATCAGTCCGAACCGGGTTTACAGAGCCATCAAGGCTTTCGGCCACCTTACCAACCTCCTACCACATATTCCAGCCAGACCCCTCTGCAGCCTACCCAAAGCACACTTTTCCAGACCCACACAGATACTCACACAACCTCCCAGAAACCCCGGCAGACCTCATTAGCTGACCTAGAGCAAAAGATCCCCACCAATTATGAAGTCATTAGCAATCCTACCGTGGTGATCTCTGCTGCAACCCCAGAAGTGACGTATAGCTCCACAACAGTGACCACCAGCTATGACCAGTACAAGACTCCAGAGGGAAGGCCAGCAGACAGGAGTGGTGCAGTGCAGAGTCCCTCTACCAGCTACTCCTCTGATTCTCTCTACACCAATCTAGAGCAGAACATTCCTCGGAACTATGTAATGATCGATGATATCAGCGAGTTGACCAAAGAGAGCACGGCAGGGGAGGGGCAGAAAGGAGATTTGCAGCCACAAAGCAGCAATGGACGGCATATCAAAGAAAAGAGTGACCTAGCAGATACAGATGTCTCCAGTAGACCTTGTTGCTATTCAAAAGGAGAAGAGGAGTCTGAGGAGGATATGTATGATCATCTTGGCTCCGACCACCGGGGGAAAGGTTACCACAGAAGTACAGAGAGCAATGGGAGGATGTCAGGCACTTCTGGTTCCTACTATTATGGAGACAGTGATTACAGGCACTCCTCTCGGGTTGATAAACATGGGTCCAGTACAGGAATACAAAAGCATGCTTCAAAAAATTTAGCACCAGCTGTCATCTCTTCCAAACGCAGCAAGCATCGGAAACAAGGTATGGAGCAGAAGATCTCCAAATTCTCCCCTATAGAAGAAGCCAAAGATGTAGAATCAGACTTGGCCTCCTATACAGTGACCCCATCAGTCACCAGTAGCAGTGTGACATCTAGAGCAAAGAAGCTGCAAGATGACATCACTTACGGCCTCAAGAAGAATGTGTATGAACAGCAGAAGTACTATGGAGTGTCCAGCAGGGACATGATGGAAGAAGATGATAGAGCATATAGTGGTGGACGATCAAGATCCTCTGGTTATGTGTCAGACAAAATGTCTAGCCGTGAGATCAGGAGTAGGTCCTATGAGCGTGAAAGCATGGAGAGGCCTCAGAAAGGAAGCTCCAAGCCTTCCTCCCTTAGTATGAGTCGCGGGCGACCTCCAATTCGCACACAAACTTCAGAAGAAGAGAGTCCTATCAGTCCTTTAGGGAAGTCCATGGGTGTTTCACGGTCTTCAGGTGGACCTCTCCCTCACTCTGCTGGAGATAGCTGCCCTCAGTTCTGCTCTAGTCACTCATTGCCTGATGTACAAGAACATATCAAAGATGTGCCAAGAACTCACTCATACAAGCATGAAGATGGTTACATCATGGATGATTCACATTGTGTTGTTTCAGACAGTGAAGGTAATGGCTACCTGTGGTGACTTATCCCAGAGCATGCTCAAGTGGGTCAATATGCAAAAGACAATGCCTCAGCCTGAGTTTGCTTGCCATGTGCCTTTCTTCCCCATTTCGCTTTCTGTTTTGGTTGCTTTGTGTTCGCATGTTTGCATGTCCTACTGGTGCTGACTGCTTGCTCAGTGTGGTAATATGGTAAGACTTCTCTTCTCATATTTCCTGAATGGCAGCTGTAGCATGTCCTATCTGCATGAGATAAGTTCCTTGCTTTCTTTTATTTCATTGCATGGCTTCAGCTATATTCCCACCTTTGGATCAAGAGATTGACTGTGATCTGTTTTTGATTTCTGAAGCCTATCACTTGGGTCAGGAGGAGACAGACTGGTTTGATAAGCCAAGGGAACCTCGTTCAGAGAGGATGAGGCATTACGGTGGCCACTCCTCTTCCTCCCAGAAGAGGGCTTCAATTAAGCACACATATCATGACTACGATGAACCTCCCGATGAAGACTTGTGGCATCATGATGACTACTCGCACCCACGCCACTCTTCTTCCAAAGAACACAGGCACCACGGAGACTACGGGAGGCACTCGTCCTCCTCCCGACACTCCACTGATGATCTGCCCAGGAGATCCTCTAGGCAACATCCAAGAGATCCAGGCCGCCACGAGTCACGTGGCCATGGACAGCCCTCTTCCCAGAAGAAAGCTCAGCAAGCGGATATGAGAGCACAGCCGGGCTATCCTTCCTCAGAGTATTCCCAGCAGTCTCGACAGCCTTCTGGCTACCATCATACCTCAGAGTCCCAAAAATCACAGCGGCAGATGCAACATGGGCTGCCATCACAGCAGCCCAAATCAGAGCCTGCTTCCCACCAACAGCAACCGCAAACAAGACAGCAGCAAGTAGGGCAACAGCAACAACCGTCATCTAGGCAACAGCAGCAGCAGCCGCCGCAGCTGCAGCAGCAGCAACAACAACCACCACCAAGCAGGCAGCCTCAGCAGCAGCATCCCATGGCCCCTTCACAGCAGTCTTCTCAGCAACCGCCTCAGCAAGGGAGGACGCAACAGCAACAACAGCCTGGGACTCAAGCCCAGCCCTCTTCGAGGCCAGCCCAACAGCCGTCTGGCCCGTCCCAGCCAGCAGGCAAACCACCGTCAACCCTCCAAGCACAACCCAGCTCTCACCCAACAGGGCCGGTAAGTACTAAGCCATTTTTGCTGAATACCAGTTATATGTACAGTAGGTCTATCACAGCTTGGCGGTGTCTGGTCTTGTTCTGCATTAGGGAAGGGGTAGTGAGCAAAGCAGTGGTCCATTCTGCAGGGTAGGAGTTGCAGAGAGAACACTCTAAATAGTTGTTGTGGGTTTTTCAGGCTCTTTGTCCATGTTCTGAAGGTTGTTCTTCCTGACGTTTCGCCAGTCTCTGTAGCTGGCATCTTCAGAGGACTGGAGTAGGAACTCTGTCCATGCTCTGTTTGTTCCTACTCCAGTCCTCTGAAGATGCCGGCCACAGAGATTGGTGAAAAGTCAGGAAGAACAACCTTCAGAACACACCTTCGACTAAAGAGCCTGAAAAACCCACAACAACCATCAGCCTTCGAGAATGTGCTCTAAATACTTCAAAATACATAGGTCTAGATCAAGTAGTGCAATATCTGGCCCATAGACCACATGTGAACCCAGGGCCAGTTTTACAGCCCTCGGTAACATACATTTTTCCCCACACCACCCAAAATTTAGGGAACAGCAGCAGAAGGTCAGGGACCCCTTGTGCCTTGAGGGGACATAGGGCAATTTTGTCAGATTTGGGGGGGGGACCTCACACCCTTGCCCCCTCCCTACTTCCCAAAAACCATGTGAAAGATTAATTGGTCACTAGAAGGCACAAGTGTGGCTTTTTCCATTTAAAAGAATCCTAAATCCATTTTTTCAATTAAAAAACCTATTGTAACAACCTTTACAGTACATAAGCACTGCATTAAAATGCAAATTAGCCTCTTTGGCCACACCTTCCTCATTAGCCCTACCTCTGGAAGTGCAGTAATCCGGCTGTTTGGAAATCTGAAAAACAGACTTCCATACCAGCAAGACTGCCCTGATCTACCATAGATGGTTATATTCTGCAGAATAGCCTCTGTGCATGAAAAGGACTGAGAAAAATTCACACAGGCCATGTGGAATTGCAGAGGGATAGTCTTTTAATCAGGGCAACTGGGTGGCAGCTTGGAAACAGCCAAAAAAAGATAATATGAGCAAGAAAAAAAATAAACCTGTTATTAGAATGAAACAATATGCAGATGGTGATAGTCTAAGGGCAGAAATGAGACAGAAGCTTTGCAATTAGCATGTAATAAAATGATGTTCAGAGGTGCATTTTTCAGAGCTGCCATATTTGCACAATCAACATGCCAATGAAATCTGTTTACCTCTTGATGACTAATCACTAAACAAAAGCAAGCTCATTTTCAACGTACGTGTCCTTTACTTCTTAAGACAGCTCCACTTCTAACTGCAAAGCTGCCATCTTGCCTAGTGTGGCCTTCAACCCTCTGGCCTCTACACAGAGGCTTCATTTGTACTATTACAGATAGGAGCAATAGAGGAAGGGAGATATGGCATCCAACAGTGGGTACATTTGGGTAGAAGGTTAGAGACAATTTGTTCATTGATCTGGCACAGAAAATGGGATAAGACTGCTGAGAAATCCAGAAAGTGGGTTTTGCATTATATTTATCTTTCCACTATCTGCAGTGCTGCTCCTCTCCCTGCCTCAAACATGTGCTGCTCAATACCAAGGAAGAACCAGTGTTTTTGAAGTATATTTATCTCTGTTTATGATTACAGCCTAAAGTAGAGCAGACAGATGCATCCAAGCCTACCACAAAAGTGCCACAGGTGGGGAAAGTACCCCAAACACAGCCCCACGGGACAGCAGCAGGAGGTTGGTAGCCCCTCTTCCATCATATGTAGTCTTGTTTAATATTATTGTATGCTTTTTCTCCCCTAAAGAACAATTTCCATCCCCTTAACAGGCATTAAACTGGGCCCCAAGCCTGCAGGAGCAGCCACTTCTGCAGGCGCAACTGCTGGACAGCCAGGAGCAGAGGGAGAAAGTGTCTTCTCAAAAATTCTGCCAGGAGGAGCAGCAGAACAAGCAGGCAAACTGACTGAAGGTGAATGGCTTCTCGGTCATCTTTATTGCTTATCCCACTCTCTTCAAACAATGAGGAATGGGCTCCTGGAAACAGTTCCTCAATCCAGAAGGTCACATACTGTACGTAGACTTTCTCAGATCTTCCTGCAGGAACACTGAAATTATTGCAGTGTAACTAGCTGGATTAAATAGAAGAACTGCCTTCTGGTTTACATCTGTATGAGAAAGAAAAGGAGAGGGAGGGAGGGAGAAGTTAAAATGTGGAGTCAGTCACATTAAAGAAACCAAAGAATTCATAACAAAGGCACTGAAGAAGTAAGCACAGCAGAATTAGAAACCGCCAACACCACAAGCCACAAGGTGTTTTCCTGGCTGTGAGGATTGCTAAGGAGCTCAAAGCTGCTTTCAAAAGCTGCTTTACACTGACTTAAGACTACTGGTCCACCAGCCACCCCCTGGCAATGAGGCTTTTAAAATCCTCCATCGAAGCACTGACCAGACTTAAGAGCAGCCGAGAAACTGATGGGGATCTCATGCTCTGTATCAGCATGAGGGGAATGGGTGCCTCACACCCTGAGGTGTCCCACTCATCAGTCGGGGTGGTGGTGCTGGTACCTACTTTACAAGCAGAAGAAAGGATAAAAGAAAGCCAAATACAGACAGGTCTCTAGTGCACTATGATGCTGATGTACTGCTTTGATTTTTCTTTCTTTTACATCTTTAGCTGTTTCGGCTTTTGGGAAGAAATTCACATCATTTTGGTGAGAGAGCACCATCGGGTGAGTTACTTTTGGCCATCTGTATTCCCAACCCTCAGCGACTATAACTCCTGAAAATACAAAGACACTTTTCATTTACCTTTTTTATTTTAACTGCAAGAGGCCAGCAACATTATTTAATATTTTATTTAATATTTTTCAGCCTTAGCAGAAACCTTTAATTATCACAACCTTCTGACATCAAGGTCATGCTGTTGCTTTCTGAATCCAAATACTCTTCCAGTTACACTGACACATTTTCTCATAATCATCATCATCATGCAGATCTCAGAAATCACACCACCAGAACTACAAAAAACTGCAATACAATATTAGGAACAGCATGCATACTGCACCAATATTTAACAGATACTTAGGCTTTTGGTTAAAACTTGTATCTGTTATATAATGGTGCATGGAGTTTTTGAACAACAACAACAACCACCACCACCACCACCACCACCACCACCACCACCACAAAATGGCCAAAGTCCTGGTAGTTATGCTTCCAAGTATAAAGCAAATGGAATAAATTTGGTAGGTGAGTTCCTCAACTTTAAAAAATCACTATAGACATTACATGTTTTGTACCAAGTAGCCCAAATCTTAACTTGAGATAGTTTGCCCCCCAGTAATTACACAGTTTGCATTTATGCTGGCATAAAACCCTGGCAGGATTTTGGCCATCAAGTATCATCTTCAGGTTGCACATGGATATATTTATGTGTATGCATATGTGTACAGATACAAGCAACATTCTGCATTGTGATGTCAAATGATCATCATTGTTCAAAAAAGGAAATTCAAAGGAAGGCTCTGACATTAACTTGCTAAATTAAATTTTTTTAAAAGCCACTTTTTTCACCAAGTGAATTTGAGGCATAATGCATATAGGTGCCATACCTTTGTATATTATGCCTTGTTTTTGCATTGTGGACAAGGTTCACACAGCTTATTTTCTTTTCATTTGTTGCTGTTGTTGAGGTGTAAGCATAAACTGAAAGTAATATTAAATTAATCAGGTGACAAAGCTGTGCCTCCTAAGATTCAACCTCATTTTGAAAAATATGAAATAGGAAACCTAGAAACAATCCTCCAAATGTATTCTTCCCACCAAATCTCTGAAAGAATTTATTGTCAAGACCAGAATAATCTTGCTTTAAGGACACTCAACAAAGTAAGAACCACCAGAGAAGATCCTGTTTCCAGTAGATACCAGTTGAGGACCCTCATAGGGCTTTGGAACAAGTCTTCAGATGTCTTAGCAGAATGTTCAGGGAGGAAAGTATACAATTCATTGGTTATTTTATCCTGTTATTTGATCAAAACAGTAGTTTTCCTTTTCTAATGCAGGTGTCAGAATACTACAACAAAGTTAGGAAAACTGCATTATCATTTTCTTTACTGTTGTGAATGGTCAGTGCCTTTTTCTTATATCATTTAAATTTTAATAGAATTGGTGCAGGCTATATTATATTATGTCTAGGTTTGCACCATCACTATGCAGTGGAAATGAAGCAAAGGAAAAGTATAGAGTGAAGTATGTTATAAATGGGTGCAACTGTTACTGATACAGCTCACAGAATTGGAGGAGGAAGACGACGACAACAAGAGACCTTTGGATAGTGTGGGTGGCATTAAATAAATAAATAAATAAATAAATAAATAAATAAATAAATAAATAAATAAATAAATAAATAAATAAATAAATAAATAAATAAATAAATAAATAAATAAAACAGCATCAACAACAACTGGGAAATATTGATGGATCATAATTCAGTGTGGGCGTGGATAAAATCTGGGACTATTAAAAAAGAAACCAAATACTTTATTTTGCTGCACAAGAACAAACAGACCAAACCGTCGTGATGAAATCTGAGATCCAAGGAATTAGTGGTAACAGCAAATGTCGACTCTGCCAAGAAAAAGATGAAACTGTGTCACACCTCATCTGCAAATGTCCAAAGATTGCACAAATGGATTACAAAGTTAGACATGACAGAGTGACAAACTTAGTGCACTGGTTATTGTGCAAAAAATTCCCATGGGAACATCAGGTAGAGAAGGTGTCAGAAAATGAGGAAATCAAGATCTTGTGGGATTTCTGGAGACCTGGCAATCGAAACATCTCGCCTATGGAAGAAACTTCAGTGGTCCCTGTAGTCACTGGGGATTTGGGAACAATATCAAGAAATTTCACATTGTATTAGAAGCAGTTGGAGATCTCAGAAATCACACCATCAGAGCTACAAAAAAACGGCAATATTAGGAATAGCATACATACTGTGCTGATGTTTAACAGATACTTAGGTTTTTGGTTAAAACTTGTATCTGTTATATAATACCACTCAATGTTTTTATAATTGTGACTGTGCCTGGTGTATTTTAATAATAATAATAATA